TTCAGTAACGAATCTGATGGTGTCGCGTTGCCCAGAAGGGGGTTCGTGGAACATGTACCTTTTAACGACGAGTGTTGCGAGGTGGAGGAGACGAGGTGCATGAGATGTGACAGGGATGAGCAGCTCGAGCTGAAGAAACAGGTGGCTGGCAGGTCGCGAGGCAGCACCCCCTGTCGACTTGACTCGACGCGGCATCTCCTTTGATCTGCTCTAGCATGTATTGCTTGTTGACTACCACGTAACTGGGTTGCGACTATTGATGTTCCATCCATTTGGTGCGCTTCCATGGATGATGAACACCTGGCTGCATTGTCATCCGAAATGCCCCGGCAAGGGCGAGATAAATCTGGTTGGGTGCTGTTTGTTGGCTTACATGGCACATGCACATTTCGCGCCAACATGATCCCACCATCCACCAGACTCAGACATAGTAGGGCAACATTGTGTTCGCCCCGGGTCATGGTCATCAAAAGAAGAAAGCCGTCGCGTCGCCCACGGACGTCATCTGTCCCGGTTGGATCGGCAGCTGGCGGCTGGCGGTGAGGAGGGAAAAGCAAAATCTGGGGAGGGGCTTTCAGGCACCGAGTACCTTTCTGTCCGCCAAGGCGCAGATGCCCAGAAAGCTCCCCGGGGCAGCTTCCCCGGATCGCCAACAGGAAGGCTGACGTAACAAGACTGACTGCCCTGGCATGTGCAGAACAGCGAACAGTGCCACACTCGGACAGACCAGACTGGATGGCGGCGAGGCTTCCTTCCTTCAGTGGAGGTTTCCTTCAGTGGAGGTCGAGCACAGCAAATGAAGCAACGCAGCGCATCCATGCGCTAATCCGGATACGCTCCAGACGCTGCCATTCTCTGACTGTGTGGCCGGCCCCCTGTTCATCCGCCCTGAACACGGGACCCACACCACCTGAAAAGCGGTCCTGGGTCCTGGGTTCTTGGCTCTGGCTTCTGGGCCCTGGCGCGCTCCGCCTTCCTAAAGTTCGCCGTGTGCTGGTACTGGCACCTGCTCTTGATCTTCCATATCCCATCGTGCCTGCCCCTGGTCCCGAATCCCAGAACACCACGTCGGCAGGCACTGGCAACGAGGCACAAGGCGCAAGGCATGAGGCACGACGCACAAGAGCGACAAACACCAGACCCGACGTGACGATCGTGAGGCCTTTCCTTCGACCTGCCTCTCCATTGTCCCTCTCCTTTCCATTTTCAACAGCGCGCCACTTGCGACACTCCGCCCTCACCAATTGTTCCTTTTAGGTTTCGGCCACCGTTTCTTTGTCGACACGCTTCACATTTCCTTTCGAGGCCCCCTCAATTGACACGGCCACCCTCTCAATTGGCCACCGACGTCTCGTCCCCTTGCAGCGCGACGATTTCTCGAACGGCCCATTCTCTCGACGACCAGTTCCCTCGCCGTACCGACTTCCTCACGTTACCCGCGCGACAGCCCTACCTGCGACCCCAAATCGGCTCCTCCTCCCTCCCACTCGAGCTACGTCAGGGGGTCGCACGACCACGATCGCCATTCCCGTTTCAACATCCATCACGCATACCATTTCCCCCGCAGACTTGCGCGCGCGAGCCCGGGCCTCCGCGCAGCTTCCTTTCCCACAGCCCGTTGACGGCGAACCTTTTTCTTTTTCCGCAAAACCGACTTTCCTCTCCCCCTCGACAACGTCACTCGCCCATCACGGGGGTGCCCTTCAACAAATGGCGGATACTCGGGCACCCGCGCCGTACCCCCTCCCAAGGCGCCCACCCATCATGGGCATTGCCCCGCGAAAGCAGGTGTCCCTCGTCCACCGTAAATACAGA